AATGGTGGCTTTCAAACTGTCAGGGATTGTTTTGGGTTGACGTCTCGGCGGTGCCGTGTACCGTCTATGACGCCATCTATAGGCGCCTCTGCCGAGAGACTGACGTCACGGACGTGATGATTACGGCGGTGCCGTGTACCGTCTATGACTATATAGGCGCCTCTGCCGAGAGACTGACGTCACGGACGTGATGATTACACAACTGGCTTGGGAAGAATGGTATCATTGCATGGGCAAAACATGGTGCGCGAATAAGAGCGACCGTCGTATCCATGTGCACCAGACATGCGCCGGCAGCTCCGCTACAAATCACAGGATACGATCGTGGGATCCGAGTGCAGGATCGTATTAACATGAAACCTCATGGGATTCTGGATCTACCCTTGCGATCAAGGCATTGCACACCGACTTTGTGCAAAAGCGTAGCACTCACCCGTTACTTGTTTGTCTCTTGTACCAACGCAGCATACTAGAAATTGTCGCGCAGTTCAGCGAGTACTGGCGTGTTGAATAGTCCCTAAAACATTTCAACGTCACAACTGTTTGACAGACAGTGCAATAATCGATCTCCAGTAAACTGTTGCAATAAACTGGCCATGCTAGCGCTGAGCTGGTGTGGTCAACACTCGTTCGCCATGTAAACACGGATGGCTGTTCCAATTAGCCGGGGGAGGACGGCCGCCAGGACGTCCGGGGCGCTTCAGCCCGCTCCCGGTATGGCCGCCGTCAGGTCAGGCTCGCGCCATTTGCTGATACCCGCTGAAACGCGACCCTTCACAGGGTCTGACAATTCGCCTCTACAGAGTGAGGACGCCGCGGAGGCCTTCGTGGCCCCCATCCGGGCCGATTTGAGATGTTCGCTGCGTGGCGCGTAATCGCCTCTTGTATGGCGTGTCCGCAGTAAAGCCGTGTGTGTTACGCGCCTTAGACTGCCCAGCTCCTCGCTCGGGACGCAGTCGACGTTGGCGGCATACTGGTGTGACAACCCGAGGCGGCCGAGATCGCGTGCTGAATCCAGTCTAATGTCGGCGCGTCCCGGATTGCTCGGTTCCTCGCTCGGGACGCAGCCGACATTGGCGGCATATTGGCGTGACGACCCGAGGCGGCCGAGATCGCAGGCTGAATCCAGCCTTGTGTCGGCCGGCGGCCCCAGCGGCGGCGTCCCCGGCCGGTGCTGATTGACCGTTGACCTGTGGGGTGCGGTCGGCCGGCCGGTCCGGTGGCCTTTGTCATCGAGGTGTGCGTCAGGGCTGGCCGGACGCGTTAGTCACCGCTGCAAGAACTGGGGCCGATGGAACACCATCGCGTGCCAGTTGTACAGTCGAACACTCGGCAGTTGTTGGCTCACGGCTCGTGTGTGCAGTGCGGAATAAAATGCGGCGTAACAGTCACAACATGCTTTACGGATGACGGCTGCAAATTCATTTGTGCGACGGTAAAAGCATTGAAGTGAGGTTTTCATTCCAATAGACTTCCGCTGGTAACTTAGTTGTGCGTTACCGGATTAATACTGGGTTCGCCTGGTGATGCATGGTTCCGTCCCCCTAACGTGATAACATCTGAACAAAATTGACCCTTCCGTGGCTGGGTCTTAGTGGGCTTGGTTTGAAGCCAATCTGTCATCGCTATCGATTGGCCGCCACCCGGGATTCTGCGTACACCACTGGCGAATTGTATTCTGGTGATGAAAGGGCAAGGTAAGCTGTCTGACGTTCGTACAAAACAATACATAATGCTTGATAAACCTCGTCCCTACCGTCTTCGGTGGAGAGAGAACCAATGCGAAGGGCCGTAGAAAACTGTAGAAGAAACCCGGTAGCGTCGATACATAGCGTATATATTAATTACGTGAATTAAGGAGGACTTTAAGCTATGTATTATGTGTTAGTTGCCACCTCTGACCGTTTTTTGTTTTTTTACTCACCGACGGAATTGGCTAGGTCGCTGTCACTCATACGATATGGGATACAGTTTCAGACTGAACGTCCCATAGCACGTGCCATTCCGCCCTGGTTTCCTCCCACTGCAAGAAGAACCTAAGGCCTCTCCCCGCCCAGCGCCATCGCACCACTTCACACCGGTGAAATTCACACTTCTCGGCACGGTGAGCGAGCCTCCCTTCGGCTTCGCCTACCGCGGCCGGTGGCTGTGTTGTCCGTGTATAGCGTTCGTGTCGCGTCTCGTCAGATTGGCGCCGGTGCCGGTGTCGGCGGCGGCGGCAACCCCTCCCGGCTAAGGGCGGTCAAAGCGTCGGAGCCGCCCCTCAGTCACCCAAGCTGGCCCGGCTGCGAGACCTGGTCCTGCAGCACTTCCGGGACGGCGCCGGCGGCGGCCCGAACACCCGGGCCATGATCTTCTCACAGGTTAGCCATTGGCAGGGGCGGGGGAGGGCAACGGGGATCACCGGGACGGCGCCGGCGGCGGCCCGACCACCCGGGCCATGATCTTCTCACAGGTTAGCTAGGGGCAGGGGCGGGGGAGGGAACGAGGACCACCGGGACAGCGCCGGCGGCGGCTCGACCACCCGGGCCATGATTCTTCTCACAGGTTGCCATGGGCAGGGGCGGGGAGGGTAACGGGGACCACCGGGACGGCACCGGCGGCGGCTCGACCACCCGGGCCATGATCTTCTCACAGGTTAGCCATGGGCAGGGGCGGGGGAGGGAACGAGGACCACCGGGACAGCGCCGGCGGCGGCTCGACCACCCGGCCATGGTCTTCTCACAGGTTCGCCATGGGCAGGGACGGGGGAGGGAACGGGGGACCACCGGGACGGCACCGGCGGCGGCCCGACCACCCGGGCCATGATCTTCTCACAGTTGGCCATGGGCAGGGGCGGGGGAGGGAACGGGGACCACCGGGGGTCGCGGTCCTGCTACAGATCAGCCGCCGGTGTCCGGTCAGGGAAAAGGGAGGGCTTCCCAGGCCGTGGTCAGCCACGGCGAAGGGCGGGGTTAGCTGTTGAGAGGAAACTGAGACCACGTGGTTTTAGCTTTGCAACAGGTCAGTCACCGGGACCGGGGTAAGTCAGGGTCAGAGGAAGCCGCCATGGGGAGGGTTTGCAGTCATCTGCCGGCCACTAATGCGGTGACCGGGTGTAACCATCCACGTGACCGACTGGGACCGTACCAGGCTGTAAATACGTTTGGCACACCGCTCAAACCATCTTAACCTCGGGAATACAAGTAATCGTAATTGGCGATTTTCACGCTTGCTGTTCTTTAGTAAGTTACGTGTTTTCTTGGCTTTTCCTTTGCCTGTCATAAAACGTAACCACGTTCGTTCACTTCGATGCGTTTCATTGCATTCAGTCCCTCATGGCTCACCCAGATGCCTTGCCCATCGGGTCGCCCACTCTTGTCGCGGCTCATTAATTCGTGGTGGCTATGCTGTGTGCACACGCAACGCTGAGAGTGCGGCACTGCACTCATGTTGGTCGCGTGAAGTTCATGACATGCGCGATGTGGTCGGCTGGGACTCAGACCCGGACATGAATCACCATGACCCTGGAAAGGGCCTGGGACCAAACGTGACTGCTTTCTCTCGGTCTCTCGATGATACTAAGAGCCGAATGAGCATGCATATTGTTAGTGATCGTTTAGACACCGACCCTTCCGTTCAACCGCCATAAGCAGAATCCATCAGCTATATTCCATTCAAACGGCCGGCTCTCCCCGTCCGGCGGGGCGGGACCGCGCCACGGCCGCGTGGTGAGGCGTAACATGAGCCCTGCCGCCTGCACAGTACCGCGAGAGTGTGCTGGAGATAGCGGCCGTGCTCCAGCACCTGCGCCCGCTGGTGCGACCCATGCACTTCATCGGCCAGACGGCCGGCCGCGTGTCGCGCGGCTTCTCGCAGAAGGAGCAGCTCAAGGTGGGCCGCCGGGCGGGGCGCACCACCACGGCGCCGATACGGCGAGGTCTCGTGTCGGCATACAGGGCGATCGGACGTTAACATGGACGTTATGATTTTAACGACCGTATGATAATGTGGTGACACGCGCGGGTATGTTAACTCGTATGAAGTGCTCAAGCATGGTTAAACGACGATTGCGTTCAGAACAAATTGTTTGTGTTTTTGTTACTGTTATTTTCATTCGCAAGTCTATTTGATGTGTGGAAAGCGTTGCGTGGAAACGATGCAATGTCATACATTTGCCTTTATTATCGACGTAACGTTCCCGCCATCTATTGGGTGACAGACGGAACGTTAGTTCAATGTGTCTCCGCCAGGTGATCGCTGCCTTCCGCACCGGCGGCTACAACACGCTTGTGTCGACGTGTGTGGGTGAGGAGGGCCTGGACATCGGCGACGTGGACCTCATCGTCTGCTATGACGTCAGCAAGTCACCCATCAGTCTGGTGAGTCATAAGACTGTCCGTGTCTGCCAGATGTGCCCTATCTGGCAGCTGGTGCTCAATGGCAGGTTTGGTTTGATCATTTTTTCATGCCAACATTGGCAAGCTTATAGATGTAATCAGATTTTCTCCGGATGCAGATAAACCTCCTGCTGTGCGTCCCCGTCGGTGTCACGCTCACGAGCAGGAGTGGGCGCGGCCCGGCTCGGCGTACGCTGACGCCGCGCCACCGTCCCGCCAGGTGCAGCGGATGGGCCGCACTGGCCGCAAGCGTCAGGGCCGTATCGTGGTGCTGGTGACGGAGGGGTCGCGAGGAGCGCCTCTACGGCCAGAGCGTCTACCAAAGGAAGGCCGTCCTCGGCGCCATCATGTCAGGTGGGCTCGGTGGGCCCGGCGCCGCACGGGCTGCGGGCCGGGGGATGCCCGGCGAGGGAGGTCGGGGACGGATGCTGACCGAGGGGTGCCGGGTGAGGAATGCCGGGAGGGGATGTGGAGTGGGCGGCGCCTAGCGAGGGGTGCCGGGCGAGGGGCGCCGGGCGAGGGGCGCTGGGCAAGGGGTGTCGAGCGGGGGGTGCCGGATGAGGGAGGGATGCTGAGCGAGGGATGCAGGGCGAGGGGCGCCGGGCAAGGGGCGTCGGGCGAGGGGTGCTGGGTGAGGGATGCCGGGCGAGGAATGCCGGGCGGGGGATGTCGAGTGGGCGGCGCCTAACGAGGGGTGCCGGGCGAGGGGCACTGGGCAAGGGGTGTCGAGCGGCGAGTGCCGGGCGAGGGATGTCGGGCGAGGGATGCCGGGCAAGGGACGTCGGATGAGGGATGCCGGGCGAGGGATGTCGAGTGAGAGATGCCGGGCAAGGGGTGCCGGGCGGGGGACGCCGGCCTCACTTCGCGTGTGGTCTGCCTCTTCGGCATCACTTGACATGCGTGAACGGGGTTTGTTTTGGTTTGTGGTTGTGGTTGTGGTTGGTGGAAAACGGTTTGTTTTGGCTCTGCAACAGGCAGGTATCTTTCCCTTTCGCAAGTATTCTACCAAGCGGATGCGTCTATGAATGATCCTGAAAGTGGGGCTATCATTCGGTGATGTCTTCCGTATTCCCTTGCCAAATGCCATTCCGTTCTCTGATCTACTCCTCCCTCCCCCCCCCCCCGCCACACACACAGAAGTTTTCATTCGCGTTGGTACTATTACGCTCGATGCTGCACAAACACCACAATCTGACCCCGGCCTGGACCCCCCTCCTGACCTGGTCGCCGCCGACAGGTGCCCGGCTGCAGCCCCAGCTGTACCGCCAGCGTTTGACCGCCGCCTCCCGCCTGCGGCGCCCACCTGACCTGGCCGCCGCCGACAGGTGCTCGGCTGCAGCCTCACCTGTACCGCCACAGTCCACGCATGGTGCCGCGGGGCCTGACGCCCGTCTGCCAGCGGCTGCACATGATGGTGGCGTCCCCGCCGCCGGCGCCGGCGCCGGCGGCGGTGGCGGCCCCCGCGGCCGGTCGGGCGGGCCGCGGCCGGCCGCGCG